AATTTCTTCCCATGCAGAAGGCCTGGCATGTGTGACTTTCCAGGATTCTTAGCTCAAACAGGATCTTTCGTTTTTAGCCACACAGACAGAACCGAGACCGGGTCCGTTTGGCTATTTAGCCCCCTGTCCAGTATGCATGTGAAGAAAGCTGACTTCAAGGAAACAATTTACTTGTGTCTCTAGTGCAGCTGCAATCTGAGTGAGCTGATAAACGGGTTCGTTCTTCATGGCCCCTTTAGGAGCTCCCATTGAAATCACCATAAAGTTCACAGCACAAATGCGGTTGGGGGGAAAATGATGCATGAAGCAAGCAAAGTGGCCGGTGTCGTTAAGTGGACTGTTTCTGACAGGCTGGTTTTGCATGTGTCCAACATTCACGACCTGTTTCACTTTAATTCTCTGGAAGACGTGGAGTGGCGCGCCACCTTCTGGCCGAAAGTGGGAAAGACAAAACAGTGTGGTTGCAAAAAAAAAAAAAAAGGAAATAAAAAAATTTATAAAAATGGAGCTACTGGCATATGTTTTGGCATCATAATAAAAATACAAACTTTTAATTGAAAATATAGTGCTGCTGTGATTTCCCTGCGTCTTCACAGGCACAAAATATGCTCCGTGTCTTGATTTGAACTTCTTCAAACTTATGCAGTGTGAAAGGAATGCTCTGCAGATGTCTCTGCTGGGGGTTGGAAGTAATAAAATGGAAAGCAATCGTGTCCTCCTGTGTCTTGTCAATGTTGCTGCACTTGGACAATGAATTAATATCAACACGCCTCAGAACAGGCTCTTAGGATTTGATTTCTCGCCTCGCTGTCGGTTATGCCATCCCTGTAATTTCTGTCTGAGACGAAGGTCGTTAAGCGGAAGCCCTGCTGAGTGAAAGAACCACATGGAGGGAACCTCTGCTGTGTGATCAGGGCTAACAGCCCTTTGGCCATTTCTGTCATTTTCTCCTACGGTCAGCCAAGAGCTGAATGTTGAACAGCAACCTCAGTCAGGCCCGGGGTGTGACGCGGGACAATCTTTACCGCCTCAACCAAACAGAGAAGAGTTTGTCTCCGTTCACAGGCGCTCCTCTCAGTCTGTGACAGAATGAGCTGCCGAGTTCAACAGGGAACTCTCTTCAGTAAAATGTGTTTGATGTTTTATTCTCCACCCCCTTTTTTAATAGTCATCTCGTTTTCTTTTTTTTGGATTTTGTTACCAGGAAGTTGTAGTTTCTCACAAAAAGACTGTAAGGCAGGCTGTATGTTTTCCTTTCCTAAAGTTTTCTTCCATCTGAAATGCTCTCTTCAGTTTCACAGCCACGCAGTGCAGGCTGCAGTGCGACGACAGGCAGTTTTGGAACAAAGACAGGAAAAAGTCTGCCTCCTTTCCAAGGTCAGGCATTTTCCTGCTGTTTTTCCCCTCTGGATGGGCAGATTGATTTCCACAAGACAAAAAAAAAAAACATAAGTCAGTGTGCGGCCAACCAGAGACAAATGATAGGTGTGTGTGTGTTTTTGCAAAAGAAGAGGAGTGTGTGTGTTTTAATTTTAGAAGTCCAGTCAAGCTTGTCTTGCTGCCTTCTGCACGAATAAATAAAAAATATGCTGATCAGGCTATGTGGTGCATTTCATGTCAGTAAAGACTGATATTTTTTTCCTCACATTACAAAAAAAAAATAAAGACATACTTTCTTGGGATTTATATGGTAAAACAAAAAGAGAATTGTAAATAGCTCCCAACAAATAAAATGATGTGCGTATCAAGCCTCCCAAGGCTTTTCCAGGTCCAGCTGAGAAACATCGTCCCTCCAGCATGTCCTGGGTCTTCCTCTGGGCCGCCTCCGTGCCCTGACCCTGACCCTAACACCTCACCAGGGAGGCATTCTAACCAGACGCCTGATCCACCTCAAGTGGATCCTCTCGACGGGAAGGAACAGCCACTCTGAGTGCTTAATTTGTTCCCAGAAAATAAAATACCAGTGAAACACATTAAAGCTTGTTGCGTTAATGAGCATGAGTCGTAAAAAAAAAAAATGAAATTGAAGGATATGAGTCCTTTTGCAAAGACTGCATCACTCTATCTTGATGAACTCTAGTGTGAGACATAAGAAAATATTCAGAATTTTGTTAAAATCAGGATAATTGAGGCACTAAGTAATGTTCTTTGCTCCAGTTGCAGAAGCCCTATGACTGGAGCTGAAAGTTCAACGAGGAGCCACTGGAGAACTTACTTACAATCTCTGATCTAAACGTGAACTCATTCTGGTGGGAGACGGAAAAAGCTGACACAGCAAAAACAAACAAACAAATAAACAAAAAACAGAAGAACTTAAAGATAAATCCGGCATCATTCAGTTCAGCCTGCAGTCTTGTCAATGCTATTATTTTTGCCTGATTTTTTAGAATGCTCAGTTACAATACTGAAAAGAAAAATTAACCCCAGAGTAGCTTCAGAAAGTATTCAAAGGTCATCCATAAAGTCAGGATTATCTTTATGGTTGAGACTGAATCTAAAACCTTCATCTAAAATTACTGCTCATCCCTCCTTTTCCACATAAAAGCAACACATAATTTGTCTACAGTGAGTCTTTGTTTCTGTATTCCCACCACATATTCAGACTTCCTTGCTTGGCTTCGGTTAAGCGTGGAAGTGACTTCGACTGACTGGTTGTTTTTCAGACTGCGCTTTGACTCGTTGTCCGTCAACGAGTCAAAGCGCGCGTTGGTTCGCAGCCAAAGTCAACCGACATCAGCTCCGAGGCTGCAGGGTTATTGTCTGACTTTTGTTTTTGCTCTGAACATAAAAATGCAGTGGATCACAGGAATCTGGAACACTCATAGAGATTAACGGCACCAAGACTGACCTATAGTTGCTGATAAACAGAGATTTAGCTTCAAGTTCATGGAGTCAGAAGGAATGACGTTTGGTTCAGACGTAGTCCAGTAGTAAGTAAATCTTTCTGCTTAAGGAGCTGGCGCGGCTGGAACAGTAAAACACTGAGACCCAGACGATCCCTGATAAGCTGACAGCACTTGCAGCAGTTAATGAGGCTGTGTGTGGTACTCATGAAACCTGTAGCTAGTTTAGCACGAGAGGCTAATATGTGGGACCCCTCACATGTCCCATAGTTCCAACATCAGGGCAACATGAGACCGTTTGGCCTCATAAAGCCCAACGATGCAACCGCTGTCAAACTCTATCATGTTTCAGTAACCGCCGGAGGCTCAGGTAACTGCCTGCAACAAATCACTGCACGCTTTCTCAACATTTTTACCAAAAGCCCTCTCCCGACGTGAACATCATGTTTTCAAGAAAACTGCGAGACATTGGAAACCGCAGCACAGCAAGAAAGTTTGACTTTTTCTTCAAAGTTCCTAAAGCCATCTTTAGAAGGGGGGAAGTCGTCACGGATCTCGACCTCGTTTGGTTTCTTCTCGTATAAAGTTTAGAGATTATTGAGGTAAAAACAACCAAACTGTTATCTAACATTCTGTATCTCATTAAACCTTTCAGCCACACAAGTCACCGACTTTAGAGGTGAATGAAATGCAGCGTGGTGAGCAACCACTGCCTCGTTGTGGTCCGCTCCAGTTTCTTCAACGAGATTTAACACTTTCGTCCACCACCCGCCTTTTCTGGGGAAATTCTCATGAAGCAAAAATGAACGTCATCTCTGCTTTGCCTCGCCGCTTATTTGTTCATGTGTACATTGTGGATGATGTAAGCATTCATTTATCCAGACTTTTCAGCTATATTTCTGACCTAAAAAAGAAATAAAAATGAATTTTAAACTCTCTATTAATATTTATGAGGAGCTTAACTTTTATAATATGAAAAAAACCTGGTGTTTATGTCGCCTTGTGCTTCTAAAGTGAAGTGGGTGACATCCTAAGTAATACAGAAGAAAACTCACTCATCAGTCAACAACGGCTGTGGACCTGTTGCCCAGGACGTCACGGAGGTCCTGGAGAGACCGCAGTTTGTGAGACTGGAGGACTGCATGTCCAATCAGCCGGTCAGCAGCACAGGAGCACCTCAGGGGACTGCGCTCGCACCATTTCTTTTCGCTTTGTATACTTCAGACTTTCACCACAGATCTGACTACAGAAAGAGTAGCAGATGACAGAAACATCTGTTTTGCGTGGCGGTGCGGGAACAGTCACTACACAATAAGTTGTTCTCGAATGCGAACAAAACAAAGGTGATGATTGTTGATATCAGAGGAAACGGGATTGTGTCAAACTCTTGCTTCCGTCCTGGGAGATTCATATTCTTCTAATGCAAATGAAAAATGTGCTCCCCACCTGTTGTTTTCCACTTGCTTTTAAACTAATGTATCTTTCAAGGATAGTGGCATTGTTAATTAATGAGTTATTACTGTTAAAAACGCAGCACAAACAACTGGAACAGCAGATAATCGAATGCAGTTCAATCTCTTTAAAAACAACAGAGAAACACTTTAAACCTGAAGGTGTAAATCAGCTCCAACATCACCGCTCACCGACCCAGAGCAATATTTTCTTCAATTGATATTAAACTGCTTGGTGAAAGAATCACGACTATTAACTTATTTTACTTGTGATCCTGCTGGGAAAAAAGCCATTTTAGCCATGAAATAAAAGAGTCACTAAACTTGTCCAGCATTGCCTGGAGTGAAGTGAGGAAAAAAAAAAAAAAAAACAGAAGAAAAACACAACACAGTTTTCAGTCAGTTTTTTTTTCTGACACATTTTGCTGTTAAAAGAGTCTGAAGATGTGAGGCTCTCTGCACAAAGGGTTTGCAGTGGAGTCAGAGAGTCAGCCATAAGTCGCAGTCAGAAATGTTGTGAATTGGCTTTTTGAGACGTGTGGCGTCATCACTCACCGCCTATCTGATCCCGCCGCTTCCCAGAGCGGGGGCGAGGGGGCCGGGCAGGGAGCGGGAGGAGGGCGCGAGGGGGGGAGAGAGAAGGCAGGCGGAGCAACAAGTTTGGGGACTTTGTTTGAACAAACCTGCCCTTTCTTTTTGACTCCTCTCTGTGCGGGCAGCGGCTTTGAGATCTGTGCTGTCCAGGAGCAGCGGCGGCGCCATGGGTCTGTCCAGCTTTCTGAGTGCCATCATCACCAGAGCTCTGTTCATCCTGCTTGCACTGGTGGCCGTCTGGAGGGTCATATGGGTCAAAAAACATCCGTACTACTGGCTGCTGACTTTGCTCTTTCTACCACTTGTTGTTGAAATGGTTATAACACTGAGGAAGCGAAAAGGACTGGAATACAAATGGTAATTCAATCTTTTGTTCTTTGCATGTTTCTTCATAAATTTGTGGTGCAAAGTTCACAACGATCAGTTACACACTGAGCTATTTAAACGCATGAAGAGCTGATCGTATTGCACTTCAGCAGTACTATAATGTGCAAATATGCGATCTAATAATAATAATGTGTAGTTCTCCACCCCCTTGCATCCTGCTTGTCCCACTCATGCAATTGTCCTGGGACAGTCTGGTCCGGGTGGGACAGGAAATCAGATTCCTCAAACCAGCAATCATGGAGACGTATTTGTTGTCCTGGTTTAATTCCCTGACATGCTGTGATGGATGGAGTAACCAAAAATAGTCCTGATGGACGAGTAGCAGTACTTCAACATAAATTTTGTTACTCAAGTAAAAGTAAAAAGTAGCTGTGAGAGAAATTTCTCAAATAAGAGTTAACAAGCATTTGGTGAAAAGACTGCTAAAGTGCTGACTAGTCAAAACATAAATCATTTAATATTTGAAAATGACATAATCAGACCAAGTAAAGTATAAAACTATGTAAAAACGTGGGTGTTTTGCAGACCAAAATGAAAGTGATTCCTAACAATAATTACAAAAATCAATATTTGATCGAAAATAATGTATTTCAGTGGAAAACCTTGACAAAATCTGGTAGCTCTTTGGTTAAAACTAGACTTGTTCTTTATTCAGTGACGTCACTCACGGTGGGTAGAGCATCCTGAAATTGCACTCAAGTAAAAGTACCTCACAATGAAAGTACTCAGATGAAAGTTAAAAAGTATCGCACAGTAAAAACACTTCTAAAAGTAATTCTTTTCCTCAAGAAGTTACTCAAAGAATGTAACTGAGTAAATGTGTCTTGTTACTATCCAGCTTGGCTATCATGTTTCCAGATGATTGAGTGCATGATAGTTATTTAGAAGGCACTATCCGACCATTATTACCCTCACTTCCTGTCTATTTAAGACAGGAAGTCTTAAATAGACACTTCCTCACTTCCTGTCTTAAGTAGACAGGAAGTGAGGGTCGGAAGTGAGGGTCGGAAGTGAGGGTCGGAAATTATTGAGTAACTCATAAAAGAAACTGGTTGATGTGGGGTTTTCTTGAGTGAGTAATAAAAAAGATCATTTTCACGAGTTCGACATTAGCTTTCTTAACGGCAAGTTTTGGGAAGTTTCCTTAATTGCGCACGTCGTTTCCATCCACGTTGAAGCCCTTCGTTAGTTTGGAGCGGCACCGATGAGCTGACTTCTCCTTTCTTGCAGGTTTTCTCCCACGATTTTCCTGTTCCTCATCAGCATCATTCCCTCCATCTGGATCCTGGAGCTCCACACCACAGCAGAGCAAAAAGGAAAGAGAAAACACAGCAGCAGTCACTGTCCCTTTCCAAAAAACACTCATCGAGGCAGATGTGGAGGAGATGGCTGCAAGACATCTTTTCCTTCCAACTATACGCTTTTTTTAGTGCTTCAAAGACAAAAAAATAAAGCATGAGAAATGTCTGATGCCTCGTTCCTCTTTTTCTTTTGCAGTGCAATTATGATTCTTTCACACAACTTTGGCAACCTGGCATAAATGACTCGTCAAGAAACAGCACAATAAGTTTGAAGGTAAGATAAATAATACTTCATACTTTTTTGTCTGAGATATGAGATTTACTAAATAAATACTTAAAAAATCATCAATGAAGTGTGGTTTTTAAGATGGGTAGTATGACTGTTCGGACCAAGTTTTTATTGCTCATTTAGATTTTTAATCAATATTTTGGAAAGTACAAATTATAAGAAAATGTGACTTTTCAAAATGTCTGCCTATTTCCAAGGCATGTGGGTAAAAATAAAATAGTAGCATATCTACTGTTTCTTGTGCAACCACCTTGTGTGTAAACAATTATTAAATGAACAAGTTACTACTGGTCAAAAATATTCTGCATTAATAACAGATTTCCTTAAGCAGTGAGATCAGAAGTTTTCAAGTTTTGTTTTCTCAAAGACCCAGTAAAGACGTGTTTTTATACCCATACTAACGTGACTGGTGAAGTACGAGCTTCGCTCCAGAAGCGTTAGTGCAGAGATGGGCAGAAAAACGTTTTTTGGAAGTAAAACTTTCGCAATCACTTAACGTAACGTCTACATTGTGGCAAAGTTTGGTTTTTAGTCAGAGTCAGCTTGGATCAGTGAACACTTCAGCAAAAAGTTAAGGTTCATAAACTGCCTGGATAGAAGAGATGGTGGTAGAGAAGCGCTTCGTGTTATCAGTTGTTGAAGCTGGTTTGTAAAACATCTTCACGGTGGCTACGAATTGACGGCGTCAGTACAAACCATCCCCAACCAATAAATGTGACGGTTCAGCATAAAATAACTCTGACTGAGCTCCTGCTGGCAGATAACTCTCACTGGAATCACAAACTCTTATAGCTGGAGTCGCATAACAGTAAAAAGAAGTTTGCAAGATGGCTGCAAAATGACTCATAGTTGCGACAAGACATCTCCAAGATGGCAATGAAGTGATCATTGTAATGTGAAACATCTGCAAGGTTACTGTGAATCAGAGGATGAAGAGTCTGGGATGTCAAAAATTGTCAAGAATATTTCCAAAGTGAACACGAATGCATGGTTGATATGAAAGTTCTTCAAGGGGGGGATAAACACTTTGACTCACTGTCAGAGCAAGAGATTTCCAAGGTGGGTAGAAATCCAACCAGGATCAGCACAAAGTGTCCTGGATCTGGCTGTAATACAAGCTTCTAAATAAGTAAATACAGTTTCCTCACTATCCACAGGACCCAGAGTTATTGTGAGCATCTTGATACCAGATGTTCTGACGTGTCAGAACTTCCCGGCCAGTAAAACAGGGAGGAACAACAACTGGCAAGTGTTCAAAAATGCTATGGCAGATTAGTTTTCAATTCCTCAAAATGATATGTAAAATCACACACACATACCCAGATTTGCTTTCCAAGAAGACAGACGAGAAAAGTCACAAACTGGAGGTTGTATTTTTTCATAAAAGGTCATAAAGATTTCTAATCTTTATGACTGTTTACTAAATTCTTTATACTGTTCCATTAACAATAATGTTTTCTTTTTTCTTACTTGTAAACTAAGCTCCTACCGCTTCACATTCTATGTCTAAAATATTAGTAGGAACAAGTCCTGAGAACAAGTTCAGAAATGATAAACGTGAACAATACGTTTGTCTGAACAAAAGTTCAATGAGGAGGCTGAACAGCGAACTGAAATAATTAACACACTTAATTCAAAAATCCATACAAATAAGCACATGACAAAGCAAAGATTTGAGTGAGATCATTGGATCCTAAGAGTTCAAAACTTGTGAACCTTTTAAGTAAAAAAAATATATACTTTTTTTGGTGGATTGTTTTATCACAGAAATAGTACTAAAATCACATTTGTGATGTGACTTTCTAGAAATGCAACAATTACATTAGTGAATCTCTAGAACTACAGCTAAAACAGGAGTTTAGAGACAATAAACTCAAGAACAACATGTGGACCATCGACAAAAGGACAACAGAGTTCACAACTTCTGATGCAAATGCAACTTTAGGGACACATTACCTTCACAGAGATGATGTTTTAGTACCACAACGCAGCTAAACCTGACCACTAAGTTAACCCAGAGTACATCTGTCATGTTAACATTAAAAAATAATTTTGCAAGCTGTAAATCAGAAGGTATTGAAGCACAATATCTTCCAAACAGGAAGCTTGGCTCACAACGGTCTGAGTCCTACTAAGATGGCGGCAGCCGCCATTGACGTCGAAAAACAAATTTGGCTTTGAGAAGTTAAACATTGTTCAAATAAAATTGTCTTTAAAAAAAAAAAAAAGAAAGAAACAGCGATGCTGAAGAATCTGTCATGATAATGTGAAAATGTTGCTTTTCAAGATGCTCCTCTTGTTCTCATGACTCACGCTACCATCTCATGAAATGTGTTTCACGATGTGCTTTGGGAAGCAATCGGGCCTTCTCAGAAAGTTTCTCAATGTGCCTCTCTTTCCCAGAGACTTCGCGACGTGTTGTCAAGTTTCTGCGAGGACAGCTGGATCCTTGCTCTTCATCAGATTCTTCTCATCCTTCTCATCATAGGGAAGTGGCTTCTCCCTCTAGGAGGCGGGATCACAAGAGATCAGCTCTCTCAGCTGCTACTCATTTTTGTTGGCACGGCGGCGGACATCCTCGAGTTTAACAGTGAGACGCTGGACGATGTAAAGTGGGTAGTTTTTTGTTTTTGTTTTTGTTGGACAGCAGGATCCTCGCATTTCAATCCATGCATATTACGGTTTAAATTGTGTTGTTTTAAAGTGATTTAAATATCCGTTTGTGTTTTGCAGAGAGAACAGTAGTGAGCTGGTTTACGTCATTTTAAGTGTCTGGTCTTGGAGCATGCTGCAGTTCCCCTGTCATCTGTGTGGTCAGTGTCCCCTTGGCTTTTTTAATCTAAACATCCGTGCTTATCGAGCTCCTACGCCAACTTCCAAACAAACGTCTCTAGAGAGGACGGGACAGCCAGGCTCGGCCTCGGGCGCAAAACGGAGAAGGAGATATGATTTTTTTTTTTTATCTCTGCCTCTGTCAAATTCTAAACTTGTGTAACAGTGATGGCTCTTTCAGGCAGACGTGTTGAGACCTGAACCACTGAAGACAGATCAGATCAGAAAAAGAGCATTGAAGGCGTTTAAGTGTATACCACTTATCTTCTGAAGGAAACAGATGTAGGAAACTGTCTGCGCTTTTCAGATCTCCGCTTTTTTTTTTTTTGATAAGGCCGAGAAAAGCACCTGTATAAGTTTCATCCTCCAAACTTGTTACAGCCAGAGACATGTGAGTCAACAAAAAAAAAAAAGAAGAAAGAAATCAAAACAGTAACAAGTTTGTTCAGGAACAGTTTGTTTCTGGAGAAACCCACATTAACATTCCAGTTGATCTGTTGTACTTTGATGTGGAAATAGATATCATTATCCTTTTAATGCAAAAATATTCGAGGTATTAGAAGTTTACTCTCGTAGGGGGAACACACAGAACTCAACAGATGTTTTACGGTAACGCGTGTGTTTAGGCCTGCTAATCTTAGTTTTCCTTTTTATGGCACTATGCTTGAATTCCCTATAAATGCACAAGACGTCGACCTACAAAACCCGTTGGTGAGAGACGTCGCAAGAGAAATACTCTCCACAAAATCTCTGTTTCACAGCTTCTTTGTTTTCAGTCATCATTGGTGGACAGTTTGTCCCAGAACTCTGTCAAAACATTTCTACTTGTAGTCAAGATTACAGTCCTCACATTTTTTTATTTATTTTTTTGTTAAAGATGAGGTTGACCACTGCGATGTGGTGGCCATTTGAAAATTTCAGCTTTTAGCTGCCAAAGAAACCCCAGGAATTTTAAAGGCAGAATTATCATTTTGTTTTGCAGAGGAATGCAATTGCTCCCAACAAAAACAATGACTCCATTTGCACCGCTTGACTCAGTGCGGGAGACTACGCAAACTCTCAGAGCGACACACGGCCAGAACTAACAGATATTTATCTTTTTTAAAATCCCAATGTACAACCTAAAAAAATATTTTAAAAAAACCTTAGAGAAAAGGAGCATTTTGCTCTGAATGCCAGTGTCGCGCTGCTTCTCAAAGTTTCCTCCCGATTGCTTTCAACTTCTCAACGTGAGAAATTGAGAAATTTCTCCAGAAAGAGGATGTGTGCTGATGATTAGACGAAGGACTGCTTTTCTTATTCAATTTTCAGGAAAAATGTTACTGAATGACCTAAGCAAAGGTGGAGTTTACATCCACAATCATGGAAAACTCTAGATTTGTTCCCTCAAATAAGTTATAAAAGCAACCTTCATATTTAAACAATATAAATGTGCAAAGGCAAAAACAAACAAACAACAACAACAAAAATCCTCCATTGGTTTAAAAAAAAAAGCGAGGATACATTTTCAGGTCAGTTCCCACAGGAACTTTAAACAACACACACATACGCACAAATATAAGAAAAAGTAAATAAGGACCTTTTGGTGGACAGTTCTGGGTCTCGAGAACCTTTCAGAGAAAAGTACCGAAGATAAACTTCAATCTGTTGTTAAATGTACATCAACTGGAGATGCTTCTTTAGATTGAAAATCTGGCTCCTTGTATTTTAACAACCTATTTTCCATCCTGATTTAACAGTCAGAACTTAGGTAGACTATTAAAACAGAGAAACTCCCAGAGAGATGTGGGTTGAAAACCCTTTGAGCCGGTTCTTTGGTTCAACCTCATCACCAGTTTGGGTTTCCCTGGTTGACCCAGCTATGCAACAGCAACCTTGTGTTTGTTGGCTTAATTGCTATTTCCGGTTTAGCACAATGCATTATTCTTTTTTTGAACAGTGGTGGGGCCGATGACCGACGAGCCTGCTGACGAGAGGGTCCAGGGAGACTCACTCTGGTCCAATCGCAGCACCGACCTGTGGAGCATCGTGGAGACGCTGTTCATCCACGACGGCCCCTTCCTGGTGGTCCGGCTCGTTGTCATGATACACTTTGGTACTTTTCACCAGATGCTTGTTTTCTTTGCCTTTAAAAACTTCCTGGTTGTCATCCTGAACGTGTACAGGCTGTGTGTGTTATACCTTGACTTTAAGTCGTCCGTGCACAGCCCAGTGGGGGACAGCGCAGACTGAAGAGACGGCTTGGAGACGAGGGAAATATCACATGTTGCAAAGATACATGTGAAGCAGGAAAAGAAGTAAATGTATGCTTCCATGCGTTACTTTTATACTTTATTTAACGTTTAATTTTATCCCGGTCCAAAAGAACTGCTAGTTCAGAACAGAACCTCTGACCTCATTCATTTTGTAATTAAAAGACGTTGTTATTTGGATGTCTCATAATTGGTCAGGGCATTTCTTTGGGGCAATGAAGCATATGACGTTTTGGAGAGCTTATTTATTTCCCTTTAAGTGGTGCCACATTCATCAGAAAAAAAAAAATTGGGGTCAAGCAGCCGAGTAAAAACCATTAAAAACCTTTAACCATTAAAAACTGCCCATTAAAAAGTGCCAGTATCCAAAAGCTGATTCTGCTTTTGACTGGTGTTTTTTGTTTATTATTGGACTAGATGACAAAAAACAAGAAATATTTGCAATTCAACAGTGCATTTTTATTTATTTATTTATTTTTACATTGCAGTGTGTAACCACACTGCAGTGGGATGCCAATCTATTCTTTAACTAATGTAATTTGGGATATCATTTGATGCTCTCCATTCCCAAACATATGAAGTAATGTCATGTCACCTGGATTTAAACTTTAAACTGGACTGACAGTGGCAGTAGCCCAGGGTGCCATTTTTTTCTTTCTCATTTTTAAATTTTCTTTTATTATTTTTATTTTTAATGAGTGCATGTTTTGCAGACATTATACTTAAAACATCATGAATTTATAATATGGAGCTACTGGACCTTTTAAACCTGCCGTCATCGGTTTGTACAGCAAAAATGTTCGTTTGTGCCGCCATCGTTCCAAAGATGAGAAGAAAAATGTCAAACACTCCCCCGACGCCGCTCACATTTAAAGTGACGTATTTATTTCCACAAATCAGCTCGGCTGGTACAACAAAAGTTTGCATTTGTGCTGCGTTGGCTTTGAAGATACCAGTGAAGGTCTAACCTTTCATGGATATCGTCAAAGCCAAAGTAGGACAAACAAAATTATTTTTTGCTGCACAAACGTTTGACACCAATTTTGTCTGATATGAAGTTAAAAAACACCCCGACTCTGACAGATTGTCAGCAGAGCAGGTGTTTAAACAAGGCTAATCTGCCACAGCGATCGTTCATCAATAATCACGTTGACAATCGCGAAATAAAAATCGAAACCTGAAACTATAAAACTGTAACAGACTGCATGTTGTGGGAAATGTTTGCATGTTTTTTGGATCCCGGTACATTCGTGGCGTCGTTGGTCAGTTGCTACAGCAGCGCCTGCCCGTAGTGCTGCTGACACAGAGGGAGAAAAAAAAACTTGTGGTTTTTTTAAGTTGTTCTTCAACTGGTTTTCTACATTATTTGTCCCTTTGCTGAGGCAGACTGCACTAAACTAAAAACACCCACATCTCCAGATTTCATTTAGTTAACGCATAGCATGTAAAAGAACCGTCTTTTGGCCCTCATTGTGGACACGCATTAGATTTCCAGATGTAAACAATAACAATCAACATGTCTATAAAAGTAACAAGTATTCTACATGCATTAGCAATATAATTTTTCTTTAGTGGATACATCACCAAAATGGTTTCCAACCCAGGGCTTTACATCCTTGTAAATCTTGAACTGCATGTCACTTTTATACTCAATTTACATAATATTTTAAAAGGTGTTTTTTTTTTTAAATAATTAAAATGAACATAGCTAAATGATTCGAGCGTATGATTTAGATGTCTGAACTGCTTAGACTCAACTTTTTACCACTGAGTAAAGCAACATCTGATCCAAAACTGTACTAAAATTGATGATGTTTGTCATGTCAGGTGTAGTTTTTTTTTCTTTCTTTTTTTTTTTACATTTTGGTGTTATTTTCTTCGTTGTAATTTTAACAAAGTATTTCCCGTGGATTTACTTTATTATTTAACACAGGCCATTATATTCTCTTAATGTATTATGTCAAACATTTCTGAATGTTTTAAGGCATCTATTGCCACTTTTTACTCTAACATTCAACTTTGCATGACTGTGAATGTAGACAAACTGAACGTAACCTTGAAGCATGTTTTCTGTAATCTAATGTTACTCCTACATTTTTGAGGATAACAATAAGTACTGTGAGCAGGTGAACCACCAGAAGCTTTGACTTAGACAGACATAAATGTACAAGCATGTTTTTAAATCTGCACACATTTTCAATGAAAGAAGGTCGAGGGTTTCAATTCCAGAATGGAGTTTGCTTGCATGGGCTCTACCAAAGTCCAAAAGTCTGAACTTGAAGTTATTTGGTCTCTCTGGATTAGAGCATGAATCCAGGTGTCAATGCGTGTCTCTCTGTTGGACTGGTGACCCGTCCAGGCGAGCGCCACCTCTCACCCAGTGCCAGTTGGAGATCGACACACAGCAAGGATAAGCCGTCACAGATAATGGACTGAATTTCTTTAAATAAATATGTTTTCTGTAACAAGATGCGCGTTTTAAGCTGCACATCAGTAACAGACTTGTCTTACAGTTTCTGTTTCAGGGAGTGCTCCACACTCCTAACAAAAGCTCCTACCAAAACCCATCCTGCTGAAACTCTGTGATGAGATTTGTCATTATTCTGCACATTTAAAGTTTTTTTTTTGTAAAGCGATCTTGCTTCTTGTCCTTGGTAGTGAACTGTGTAAATTGCATTTCCTTTGGTCGTCACTAGATGTCCTAGGTCGCCTTTATCTGGTGTTATGATCGTCACGTCAGCACTTCCTTTTTTCATATTCGCACTACCGGCACTATCACTCTGCCATATCTTGCTTTGTTTCTTATCAGTTATTTATTGTTACCCTCTTTACGCTTGCCTGACCTTGCTCTGAATTTTACTTTTTTGTTGTTGTTGTTGCTTTGTTTTATATTAGACCAATCAGATTTTCTTTCTCTTTATCAAGGTTTTGTTTGTTTGGCCTTTAATTTTTTTGCAGCGTTCTGGGTTTTCATCTGTGTTTACTACACGATGTTGCCTGTTATCTCTCTGCTTTATATTTAGTCTTGTATTCTGGTCATATATCTATTAGTCTGATCATGCATGATTAAATAAACGTCTTCTTTCTATATAAATCCGAGATAATTCGAGCTTGCATTATTGCCATGCTGTGTCGTTACTGCACTGATTTAAATGACTAAAACAACAGTGAAGCAAGAAATGTTCCCTTATTCTGCCGAGTCTTATTGCAGGTAAGCGGCTAATAAAGTAGCTCTTGTTTCCACATGCACGTTCTCCTTCACGTTTGAAAACGGTTGTTTTGCTTTAGATATGAAACACAAAGACGCTTACAGGTCATTCTGGATTGTTTAAATGGTTAGAAAAACACAGAGGCAAAGTGAGCAGACCAAATAGTAGAGAAAAAAAGAATAGAGACAATAAATAAAAACATCCTACATTGTCCCTTGGAGGAGAAATTCAAGTTTACCGGCAGAAAAGTGACAGACGTATGAAGGCATGACGATTCACACAGAGGTGAAATAATAAATAAGAGAGTACAGGGAGGGCAAATTTACAATATAAGATAGAAATACTGCACAGAAAAGAATATTTTTACTCTTTTTATACTCAGATCTAAAGAAATGTGCAACTGGGAAGGACGTACAAAAGAACATGCAAACTACTTGTATGTTAGGAATGTATTAGGTCAATTCATTAACTGTAGGCCTTTAGTCTTGAGTATGACCCATCAGGGCCGACTGAAACAGAAACAGCCAGAAGAATTTCCACATCAGAAGAAAGTATTATTTACAACTACGTCCTTTAATAAGCTGCTTACTGGTCGGAGTCAAGCCTGTTATCGCTCAATAGACATTAACTTATTACTTCCCTCACAGGTTATAGGTTAGCTCCTTTTTCTCAATAGTTGCAAGCAATCAGAGCAGCTTCATCGCAACTTGTAAAAGCCTTTCTACGAAATCTTAAGAGTTGCAAATCCTTATTCACCGCCCCAATTTAAATCTCTAGCAGATTAAAGAAGAAACACACAAGCATTCGGTATGTTTGTGGTTTTGCAGTTGTGCAGACCAACATCTATCAAATACCAAGGACCATCTATCAGTGTGATGTCTGCAGGGTTTTCTCCTGTTCAGTTATGTATAACACATGCACCGATGTCCTAATCCTATAAAACGGGCTTATCAAATTTATTTCTGGTCTTCCTATAGGAACAAGTTGAGACTAGATTTATCTGTATGAATGCCCTTGTGCAAAAGTTTTTCCAAACAGATTTCAAATTATTTTCTTGCTGCATTATCCTCCCTCCGTCCATAGCATTCAGTTCATTCAAGGTCAGGAGCAGAGATCTCTCTCTCTCTAGGTTTAGAGAGAGGAATTCCCGTAAATGTGAGCCTAATCACTTTGAGACAAAACCTGGATTTCCTTCACTTGTGAGTGTAATCCCTATCACATGACCACCAGGGAGGATTAGACAGTAAATGGGCCAGTAAATCTAAAACACAGACGCGCCTTTGAGCAATTCTGTCACTTCTTCACACAAAATTCTGACTCACCTTTCTACTTTCCACTTCATTTTACAATTTCTCATGAGTAAGAAACTGCAACTCCTCAAGCTGAGGAGTCGCACGAGACACACCCGTGACCCTGAGGGAGCAGTCCGTCTTTCATTGCCCTGCACTCAGACCAAGTCAACACAGTGAGGACTCAGCAATTGAAACGCTTGTCGTTGGGCTCTGCATATAATGAGCTGGCATGTTATTATAACCGGTGACAGGTAAGGTGAATAAAGCTGGCTACCTCTTTGTCATGAGTGGGATACATCAGTCAGCGAGTGCACTTTTCTTCTCGAGCAGAAAACAATACGGAAGAATCAAGATTTGAGCAAAATGTTGACTGAGATGCCTGGGTCCCAGGCATTTCCACTAAGTCCAAGTTGTGTGGGGTATTTTTTTTATTTAATTTTTTTTACAAAGTTGTAATAATTAAGCATAACTATCCAAAACATATCACAACCATCTGGCACAAACCCACACGTGTCTGGGAGTTTTATCCCATAACATCTTGAAGTGCGTATTTCGAAACACCAAGTTTCTTGTTGGCTTTTGCAACTGATTGATGAGCCCCAGGAGTTTCTCACCACGTCACGCCACTCCTCCTCCTCCTGTTGGCGAAATGCCACACTCCCACTTGACTCAGCGCTGACACCTTCCGCTGTCATCTGTTGCCCTTTGTATTTCACTCCCAGGGACACCTGGAACTACAATAACATGCAGCTACTTACATGTCAGGTAGCTTTTTCCTTTTACCCCAACTTTTGTGTGTGAGCGCGCGCATCAAAGGCATTAGTAGGTTGTGGAGCCAGTGCGCCATCTCGTGGCAGCTTCTGGCGCCGCAGCCTCCGGTCTGTTTGGGACGTTTTCGTTTCTCTCATAACTCGCACCTTTAAAGAATCTGAACTGTTTTTTTTTTTTTTTTATCAGTTCAGGTTGTTTTTGTCTCGACGGGAGCCCCGTTCAGTCGCTGTGTGTAACCTGACACCGAGGGCAGGGCTACCTTTCTGTAGCCCAGCCCTTCTCCAAGGTTCGCCTACATTTCTCTCTCGGGTGGGGCAGGTTCACTTTTTCTGCCGCCCGCACTTTCGCCGCCTCGATTCTTCACAGGACGCCAGCAGACGCGCTTTTTATTCCATCTCTGTCTTATCATACCATTGCTGTCCGAACTCCTCCGGATCAGAAATGTTTCGCTGCGGCCTGGACTACCGTCGGTGCAGGTGGATCATGCCCCTGCTGCTGCTTTTCGCCATCATTTTCGACATTATCGCCATCGCGGCCCAGTCCGGCTGGATCCAGAACCGGGACAATAACCACTACTCCAGTATGTGGAAAGAGTGCCGAAGCCTGGGCGATGAGTCGGAGTGCTCGAGCCTCATGGGAGATAGTAAGTCTTTGGTTTTCTTTTGTTTTTGAGACGCGCCGTGTGAGTTGACCTGTGACCCGAGAAAGTGTGAGGTCACTGAAAAAAAAAAAACCTCAGGCTGGGGAGGTTCCTGCAGAGTGAACTTTGGTCTCTCCTCTGTAATTAACTTTGCGTCTGTTGCTGCCTTCAGTCTCCACTCACCAGAGTTACAGGAAAAAACACCAAACTTTAGTTAAAGTTTTCCATTTCAGCAAAAAAACTAAAACAAAACGCTTCATTTTAAAACACAAATACTGGAGATGCACTGATCACACCTTTTTTTTTGTCTTTGTTTATTTCTACAACATTCCTACAATACAGCCTTTAAAGTGTTATTAAAATTTGGCAAAACAGAAATACACAACTTATTTTTGTGTTTTAAATCAAGACTTTAACACTTGGAAACTATTTGTGACAGAAGTGACAGATCAAACACAAAAATCCTCCTTAATGCGTCAAGGGGCTGTAGTTCAAGTTTTTGAGTTAAAAAATGTTCAAAGTTGGCAGCGAATTTTAAAATCTCACTTGATAATTGCTGAGATTGGAAGATTAATACCTGAACTTAAAAAAAATGCAAAGATTTTGCAAAGACTTAAAAAAAATTCTAAACCATTAAAATGTTCTATGAATCTCATTAATTAGCTTTTTAATAAGATGTCATAGAAAGTGATGGAGTCACCAGAACTTTCTCTGGTTGTCTGGAGCTCAGACAACAGTTAGCCCCCCTCCCCTACCTGTTGCTGTGCAATGTTAGATCCCATTCATTTGCCTGAAAGAAGAATCCACTTCAAATCCTTTATTACTCATTTTCCAGGTCAAAAAAAAAAAAATAGATGTTCTCATGTGTTTAAAAAAATATTTTCTTTTTCGAAAACTTGGACAGTTGTGGTCAGACTAGACAAGCATGCTTCGTACAGCAAGCTTGTCTAGTCTGATCACAGAACCAGTTTATGTGAATGGTAGTTAATCTTGTGTTAAAATACAGTGATGCCACACAGAATGAAAACAACATGGTAGGTCTCATACCGACACATGTTTAATGGGTAGACTGTTATCATCACCTCCAGGAAAGAATCAGGCTGACAAGAAAAACTTTTACCTCTCCAAAAAACACAGAAGCAAACAGGGAAGAAAAAAAAAGTACTAGTGCAGTGCTTCTGTTTTGACATCAATAATCTCCAGACCAATCTCTCTGTTAACTAATTCTCGGCCTGGACTTGTCGCTGAGCCGAGAAAGTAAGGAGGGCAGGTTTGTACCAGTCTGCTCAACATGCAAATGAGAAGCAGATTTCAAAGAGGCTGACTTGCTAGAATCAGATAGGATCATATTTATAGTTTCTCCTTCAGTGAAGAGGGCCAGTCAGATACACATGCCTCAGTATCACACACACTAAGGACAGTGAGTGTTTGACTTTTCCGACCCCTTTTCTTACCAGCAAAGCTGCAACACGTCGGGATCTGCTGCTGCGGATTCGTTTAATCATATGTCACAGACAGTCGAAGCTCACAATTTAACATTCTGTGCATGAATACAGACGTGCATAGGAGCAGCATAATTATTAATTCACACGGTTCTGTTTGAAACACGGGTGTTCCTAAAATTTTTAATCGCATTGAACTTTGAAACTCTATTAAGTGAGACAAAATTGGTGCAATCAGGGATCATGCTAACATCACGCAAGTCTTCAATGATGCTTACAGAACTGGTTGTCCAGTTACTGAAAAAAAAACAACAACAACAACAACAAAAAAACTCGGTTTAGTGAAGTTTTCCACTTTTTTGTCATGTTTGTTGCTCCTAAAATAAAATTCTTCTCTACTTTCTTGAAACAATGTGCCATCACTACATCCTAAATGTTACATCATAAATTTGAATTTGTGGTACTTTATGAAGCCCGACTTTAGTTCTGCAGAGATGTTAACCGGAGCAAAAATACAGACTACGCAGATTATTCTCCTTGCAGAAACATCAGTAGAAAACTTCCTTTCACTTCACCGTCATGCAGAACTGTGTGTCGCTTTTGGGGATGGTAATACTTCTATATGTTGAATTTTATATTTTAGGTTTTGATAACTTAGTGCTTTTTTTTCCTCCCCTGACTCTTTTTTTTCTTTATGATCGACAACCCGATTCTCTCTGAGAAATAAACACGGGATATAATGACAACTTCATTAGTTGTGGCAGGAACATCTGAGAGGCCTGTCATCTTTATCAGTTTACACTAAACACTGATTTAAAAAAAAAAAGAAGAAAAAAAAGAAAAATAAAGAGGATTTTAATTGGTTTCTCGTACCATTTCTGTCCGTAAGCCAGTTCCACAGAACCGATATCAGCGGCTATTTGAGTTTCACCGGATATCATGAACTTGTGTTGAGTTTGAACTGCCCTCTGCTGCTGCTTTGGGACGATCTCCTCTGTTGCCCGAGTCAATAAAGCAAAAGATGAACACATCTACCAAAAGAAAGCAAAAAAAAAGCAACAACAAAAAAAAACAACTTGCTGGATGAGAGGTTCTTTTCTTTTTTGTTTTTTGAGGTTTTAATGGTTGAAATACTTGTAGGGTCGATCTGAAATACCGAGGAAACGAGCCCAGGTGAAGTGTAAATAAGAATGTTTTCAAAGACCCTCAATGTCAAAGTACTGAATAAAAGGAGGAGCTGCTCGTCCAGGAAATGCAGCATGAAATCAACACCAACCAAAATGTTTTTATGCTTCTAATAAGAGGGCGTGTTTGGAAAAAGAAATAAATTGTATAAACACAACTTCCTTATGTCTCATGGCACTAGCTGCCGGGTTTAACAGAAGAGGTTCATTAGGTATATCTTAAAGTTTCACAACAAAATTTTGTTTTAATATTTTATAGTTATGTTTCTTCCAAGTCTACTAAATAAATCACATCTGTCTTTAGAGCTTTTCCTTTCTAGTGGTCAAAAATTTATTATAAAACAAAGAATAATTGTGCATTTATCTGTTCCATTAAAATTAGTCTTTCTGTTTACTTTTCACAGTGTCTGACTTGTGTTAATTAAGAGAATAACTAACTTTGGAGGGGAATGTACGGTGGTCCTGAAGGGCAAAACTTCAACAAATCACTAAGCACAATACAAATGGGAAAGAAAACACAACATTAACTAAGCTACAAAAGCTACAAAATAAGAAAGTTTCAGCTTTATTTCCCTATTTTAGGTTTAATGAAGTCCTATCAGATTGTTGTACGTTTCAAAATGGCTGCCTGTAGAGAACGATGATGCTCTTTCTAGTCTCTTCTCAAACCGGATCTCCAGTTTTCACTCAATGTTAGTTTAAGATGGGGTTGCATAATGTCAGGTAAACATTTAACTGCAAGGCTATTACTATAAATTGAAATAACAACTTACAGTAACTCCCATTTTCCTGACAATTTTTACTGTTGCTTTCTCTGTGAGTTTTGGCTACTACAGATTAACATCCAATACAGGAGATGGGGAGATGGTCAGCCTACTAGCTGCAGAGTGTGAACACCTGCTTGAACTGTAATATCCTATCAAATATTGCATCTCCCTCACACTAGTATTGCAGTAAAGATTGTAATATGAGTAGTTTTAAACTAGAGATGTACAATCTATCTTTTGCTTTGGTGCAATAAACCAAGCTTTTGGGTTATATAGAAATAGGTGTTGTTGGTTTATTTATTTATTGTATTTTTGCTTCTCCTAGCATTTTTGTTGTTGTTGTATTTTTGCTTCTCCTAGCATTTTTTGTTTGTTTGTTTTGAAAATTAGAAACCTGCTGAAACTGCAATCACTATAGCAGGAAAATAAGATGTGGCAATTACCAGGCAGAAAGTTTACATTCGATTGAAGTTTTTACTCTTAGGCTTTTGCCGAAATGCACGAATGTGAGGAAAGTAAAGACGATGCGTCTAAGTTTCGAACAGTGATGTCGATGAGCTTGCGTGCAATTTAACGTCATGAGGACGCGAGAGGACTAAACCAGACGAACTCGCCCGGCGTGTACTGGTAAAAAGAATAAATGCCTGTGGCTGGGGCAAGTACCTGAACACACAGTGCGCAACATGGCTGTGAATAATTTAAGGGTGTTGGTTGATCCGGTAACGGGGAAACGGCTTTGTTAAAAAATACTGAACAACTAGATTATTAGCAGTAGACTTTTGGATTGGGCCATAATTTATATTTATTTATTTTTATAAAGATTCGACGTTAAACTTAGCTTTATCATTGATGGATCCTTTGCGTTTTATTCCTTCTGCAGGCAACATCTGTCTGGAGAAAAACGTATGAGTCATAAATGTGCACATATCAGCAGCCTGAGTTTTTACCCAGGTTTATTGGGTTGGATTTCAAAACTGTTCGTCCTGTTCACAAACACGCAGAGGGAGGTGCAATTTAAAACAGGCGGGTGTGGCGTCTGTGTGTTGAAAGCACACAGGCCTATCAGCCTCAATGACTTCATGGAGTTTTGCATGAGAACGTGTCGCAGCAATGACAAAGGAGCAAACCGCCTGGCGTGCGTCCCACACACAAACAGATTCATTTATTAAAAAAATGATTTGAGAAACTGTTTCCCTGGGATATTTCTGTACAATGTTTTGGGGATAATTATTACACATTCTGCTGTAGTTGGAGTATGAGTGTAGCCTCGCATGTAAAATCCGGGGCGACGGAATAAAACTGGAGGCGTTTCTCTTGAGAGTTAAAGCTGTTGACTTTTATGTGATGAATCTAACTGAAATTCTGTCTTCTTGAGAAAATTAATCGTTTTTTTTGTTTGTTTGTTTCCTTTGAACTGCAGGTTGGGCTCAGGCCGTGGCAGCACTGATGATCATTGGCCTCATCCTCCTTATCATTGCTTTCATCGTCAGCGTCAGTACCATGTGTAGTAGTGTCGACGAAGACTCCGTAAATGGTTTTGTGGGCGTGGGAGTTCTGCTTTTTATTGTTGGTAAGCTTCACTCACACATGCACAGAAACATTTACATGATCATTAAGTAACAAAATTGCCTTGATCTGTTCACAAACAGGAAGATTCTGGTTTGGAGATTAGTGGGGGTCTTTTATTGTTTCCATGTTCTTCTGTTTGTTTGGGTTTTGTTCTGGGTCTAGTTTATTCCTAAATAATAAAGACAGATTGTGAGAGTAGCTCTCCCACAATCTGTCTGACATAAAGATGTCTACCCACTGACATGGACATAGAATCCCATCTACTCAAGTAAAGTAGAAGAAAGACTGCAGCAATCACTTTGAACCAACCAAAATGTCGTGCATCAACAGACATGATTTGGTCGATGCACTGTGTGTGAAGACATTTTAAATCAAACCAATAGGGACAAAGCAGGTTTTGGTTTCAATTATCACATGGTAAAGGTTTCCTAAGGTTTGTTATACCATCTTAAAGCCAGATGTGATTACACCAACGTTACAAACATGCCTAAGCTCCAACCACGCTGTAGTCTGTGGTTTCTCACTCAGCCAGCTGAACCATCCCCAAACGTCCCACAATCCTTCATGTGTAAGAAAAGAATATCTTTGTAATCAAAAACTGGAAAAACAATCCCTGCTTTGTAGCGCATGAAGCTGAATATACTAGAGTGTATTAGTGCAGTGCTTCTCAAATAGTGGGGCGGGCCCCCTTTGGGGGGCGCGGTGCGATACCTGGGGGGGCGTGTGATCCTGGGGAACAGGCTTTTTTTTGGCTGTACTAGTATAAAGTGTAATTGCGCACAGTAGGCGGCAGTGGCGCTCTCATTGTTACTTCTGTCACGTTTGCGCCAGTGCAACATTTTACGACTTACAAGACAACAGGTTTGCCTTGGTTAGCAGTGTTAAGTCAACAAAAAGCTCCGACTGCGTTCTGTCTATGGCCTCCGTTATTCAACAACCCCCAACATGAAAAAGTTTTTCACAGGGATGAAAAGAAAAGCGGAGAGAGACAAAGATAATGAGACAACAGAAAGTCAACCGAAAGCTAAGAAGAGGAAATACGACGAAGCGTATTTAGCGCTTGGCTTCACTGTGACTACAGTTGGAGAAGAGGAAAGACCGCTGTGTTTGCTGTGTCTAAAAATGCTCGCAGCGGACAGCATGAAGCCAAATAAATTAGCGCGTCACTTAAATACATTACATCCCAATCACGCCGATAAGCCGCTAGAGTTTTTTCAGCGAAAAAAATGTTAATAAGGAAAAAATGTTATGCAGAGATGGATAGTCACGGTGGGGAGTGGGGGGCGCAAAGAGTTTTCTTCTTGCTAGGGGGGGCGTAACGGAAAATAATTGAGAAGCACTGTATTAGTGTAATGGAAAGTGTTTAAAAGTCCTTTTCTCCTATATTTTTCTAAACTTAAATCCAAATCAGTTACATACGCAAGAATCCAGTTTGTCTTTTGAAGAACTTTGCAGAGCTTTATTCTGACTTGTGAGGCTGTTGCTGATTTAATACAAGGATGTTTGTCAGGAGAAAGTTCAAAGGTGTGAATTGTTCTGGGAATTTGCTCAACAGTAAACAGTGAACTGGCCACTGGGGGTGAAACATTAGTATTTATGTAAAAGAAGGAGGCCAGGAGGAATAACTGCAACTGAATGAAAGAATTAGACAGAAATAAAGACAATTTCTGTCTAATTAAGTGGCATGTGATGATAATTAGGGAGCAGCAGAGACAATGGGAGGGTTAAACACAAAATTGGTGTGACGCTCCCATAGCAAAAACTGGCTTAATCTGTTTTCTTTGACATGAGCGTGGGAACAAAAGGTAAAACAGAAATGCAATCATCAAAATGCGGCACAGGGACAAAATAGCAGGGCATGGAAAGTGTTTAAAAGTCCGCCGCTTTCTTCTGTCAGAGGCAGCGTGTCGGTTTAAACTCGGAAATACGACGACGTTGATGTTTCTGTTTAATCCAAGCTTAAATTACTGGTTAAGAAAAAGTATGTCATATTGTATTAAGAAACAGCCAAACCACTAACTAAAGAAAGAGTCTATGGAAATAATTGAAAGCAAAGGACTGAATGCTGAAAACGAACTCCACATTTTGATTTGCTTAAGTGACTCTCGCGTAGTCGTGTGAAGGTATTTTCCACACCCTGCCGCTGCAGTCAGAAACGGGGATGTCTGCCAGCCCAGATGGCTGTGTGACAAAGAATGAAGTCGTTCGTTTTCCAATGTGTACGAATAATTTAAAAAGTAAAATGTTATACGGTGCCTTGTGTATTTTCCATGGCGTTATTTGATAGCCAAATGAAGTAGCTGTTGCCTTTTATTGCTATAAAAACCTCCTGTATTTCAAAAATACCTTCGAAAATTGATCCCCGAAAATTGCGTCTCTGTCTGTTTGAGAACCTCGATAAATTCCAACACTCCCCCCTTCAGCACATCATCACCACAATGCTTCTCCATGATGCCATTGAACTGAGAAGTAGTTCACATGCTGACTAGCAGTTTCGGGCGTTTGCTCATTCCTCTGAGGAGGAAAGCAGTCTTTTTCATCCTGCTGTGATGAAACAGACAGAAGCTAATTTAACTACTGTGAAAGTTAGCCAGGTATTCACAGTTAGCTAACTTTAATTACAGTTGGTTAAATGTTGTAAATAACTAATTAAATACTGTGAAAGTTTCACAGCTAAACTGTGAAAGTTTAGCTCGCTTTTACAGTATTTAATTACTGTTTTGATGAGGGTTATTGAGTTGCTCATTGGACTTTAACACTGATCAAACATGTTCGCCTGTCCCTTCAGGGATCCTCCAGTTCATCGGTCTGATCATCTACCCCGTCAACTTCAACACCAGGATCTTCGAGGGCGAATACGAATACACCTGGGCCTATGGGTTCGGGTGGGGCGCCACCATCATCTGCTTTGGCGCCAGTTTCATCTTCTGCTGCTTGACAAGATGCATAAGCAAGATTAATGGAGATGAAAAGGTGGATTTCTGTATCTCTTCGTAGTGACAGAACCTCCAGACCTGCCCAGTCACAGTAGTCCCTCCTACTCCCCCTTCTCTCTGTCACTGAAAACTAAAGTTTTGTTCAACACTGGAAGCATTCCTCCTCTACCATCCTTGAACAAAGTGGATTGTAACTGCGGGTCACCCTAGCTTTAATGCACACAGATCTTGATTTTAGATCTGGTCAGTATCTCGAGTCCCCCTCCCCCCTTTTTTAATTTAAATTTTTTGAGGAGAAAGTTAGACTTTCTCCTCAGAATTTCGCAAACTGTAATTCTCAAAGCAATAACACCCAAGTGCATTTGTCTTTAAAGGAGCTAGTTTTATATAAACCACAAGCAATCCAAAAAATTTTCCAGGTGTTTTTGCACAGGATGAATGAATGTTTATCGCCCTGCATTGTACCGTGTGATTTGACAAATATTGGGTCTCCATAGTGTCATTAACTCTGCAAGTTTAGCCAGGAAGACGAAGGACAGGAAAGCAATCTGTTCCGTCAGAACCGTATGCATTGGTTAAAAAAGTGTTTGCACCACTTTTATAAATCTACAGTCTGTCTCTGTTTGTCTTGATTCGCTTATGTGGCATAGACAAGAGACGCTGTGCTGCGTTTGAATGCAGTTGACTTGTCTTTATGCTGTGGTAGAATTAGAGGTGTTCTGAATTCACACTGGTGCCGACGTTTCGCTCAACTGTCACAGAAATAGTCCAGATCCCTCATTGTCTTTTGTTATTGCAGCCATTAATTATATTTAAGGACTGCAAGACACAAAACCAAAATTTCAACAACAACAACAACAAAAAAATGTTTTTAATACCCTGAAACGTATTACAAGATTCACACTACCATTGTTCAATAAGGATGTCAATACTGGTTAAAAGGGAACATTTAGATTATTTAGTTTTTCATGTTATATTCATATCAGTTATATATGATCTTGGTCGTGTTTTTCTTTTTTCCTGAATTTTGGGAATGCCATTGAGGCGCTGCTGGTCTAAACATTGACCAAAGTTTCCACCACTATGACTCGGTGTGTGAAAAGAAGCTGTGCCTTTGTGTTTCCTCTGTGGTTAATCCTGGAGCGTTTCATTCTAGTGGAAGAGCTGGTTTTCACTCACGCCCTCTGCTTCATGCCAGCACCAATCTGCTCGGACACGATCAGGCCTCTTTGTTAGATTTATTTCCTGAATTTGTGACGAACTCTTCTGTTGGCTGAATCAGTATTTCTGCTGATACTTTTTCTGTCTGGCCCAGAGCTGCGTAGTTTCGTGTATTTTATCATTTGGTAGAAGTTTTATCTATTAGTCGTCATAAGTGTTTGTGTTCAGTGTGGGCTTTTCACTGTAAATCATAAGTTCTTTACTGTATTCAAAAGAAATCTATTATTTTTCTTCCTGTTCTCTGAGGTATTTTTGGTAAGTTCTGTATTAAGCAATAAAGAGTTTTTATGTAGAAGAAGTAAAAGTTGTTGTTTTTTTTCTCTTTATTTCCCTTAAACTGACTATGTTTTAAAATGTGAGACAAATATGTTTTGGCTGCTTCTATGACTGTATTTTATTTTATTAGAGAACGTAATAAAGCTGGTCTGGGGTGGAAAACTACCCACAAAGTGAACAACAAAGAGAGTTAGTACAAAATTCATCAGAACCCTTCAATACAGATCAGGTTCCCGCTCTGCCTATTTTTATTCTGTTTGGGGTTGTCACCACTCCTGTGAAGGAACAGATGATGCACAGCACAGGAATGTGCAGAGCAGAGTCACAGATAATGAAAAGCGCACACACCCAGAGGAGCCCCACCTTCACACAGCACTGACTGACAATTAGATCTTGCTCGACGTGTCCAGACGGCTCCGCTTTCCCAGAGAAAAACGGGCAGACACAACCGAGTGTGCAGCATAAACACGGGGGAGGGAGAGTGACATCAAGGTGAGACACGGGGCAAGGAGGAGGAAATGGAGAGACACGCAAACAGAAAACGTGCACACGCTTGAAAACTCAACTAAAGAGCTTTAAAACACACCGCATTTCCTCAACGTTGCATAGTCTACATTAATATTATGACTGCATCACTTGAAATGATAATTCATGGCTATGAAGTGAGGCAGTGTAAAGAAACTTCGGCAGCTAAGAGTTGTATTATCTGCTTGGCATCTTTATTTAATATAAATGCAGGAGGATTCAGCTTGGAGCATTGCCACAGGCAAAGCAAAAACTAATAAAAACAAAATTCACTTAAACTGCTCATGTTTTTCACTTTTTGCTTGTACAGTTATTCTCATCAGAATAATTTCATAAATGTTTCTTACAGGAAGGGTTTTGAGGGTAGATCTCTAGCAGAGCAGAGGCCAATGTTGAGAATGATGCCAAAAATGACTTCCAAAGCTAAATGTTAGGGAACCAGAGAAAATAGTGGAGTGTTTGGTTATCACTGATAACTATTAAATATTATTTACATGCCAAGTGGTCGCTTGGGAGGCACTGCGCTGTCGAGGTGATTTCCCAGGTGTTTTCTGTGGAAACCCTCAAGTAATCCTTAATTCACTCTCCAAAGGCTTTTTTTGTAAATTTGTACTTAATGTGATTTGCCTGTTTTGATGGTGGGATCTTTTTTCAAGTAGACATAATGGAAAATTCAACTTTTTGATGGAGATTTAGCACACACACACACACGCAAACATAAATATATTTATAATTGAGTTTTTCTGCCACAAACACTGCAGGTGGGTTTGGCACAAACCCAAGTTTGAATGTGAAGAGGCACATCTGTGTGAGGAGGTTCTGCGGGCCTGTTTTCTTCCAAATCCCATGGGAACTTTATTAGCGTCTACTGCGTTACTAACTCTGAAACTCCAGAACGTCTTAATTAAAAATATCCAGACCTCTAGCAGGAAACTGAAAAGGATCACCGTGGTGTCTTCAAAGTGAATAAAGCATATATGAAACATATATCCATGTGAGCATAAAGATGCTTCACTGGACGCAAATCCAAACGTCTTTCACGGTCACCTCAGTCGTCAGATCTTAATCATCACGAATATGTTGATGTGAAATGAAGACGGGAACCTGAAATAGAGTTTGCTAACAGGAATATTCAAACATTTCTGTCCCTGTCTGCTCCAGCCTACCAGCTGCTGCCCATAATATAATCATAATATTGCAGCAAAATATTAATTTATTTGAAGAATTTGTACTTTGCTGCAACCTTTTCTCACCTGCTCTCATAATAAAAGATTGTCGTTTGCTGTCACAGTGCCCCGGTGGGCACATGAGATGAAAAAGATTATACTAGTCAGGTGAAGGATGTGATATCGAAGAAAAATAATAAAATAATCAACGCCTACAAGTAAAAAGCTTAAAGCAAATACATTTGTTGCATTAAATAACCTTTGTTACGTGAAATGTAGTCATTCTCTTTTGATCGAGTAGTAAACAGTGATTTCTGTAAAGTAAATCACTCAGTTGAAGGATAATGATGGCGCAATCTGGGTTTTAAAGCAAACGGTATCTATAAATACTGTGTTTTTGTTGCTGAAAGAGGCCACTAGAGGTCAGTGTTGATTAGCATTTCAGCAGTTTCATCCCTGGTTTCAGCTTGAACCCGTTTCCCTTTTGAGTTGTGGCCCTCAAAAATGTATTTGGAAGGCAATCAGTAGTAAAGTGATGTCAGCTTTAACCCCCTCCCCTCTCACACTCACGCACACGCAAAGCTGCCTCAAGCATCGTCTCTGTGGAGGTTGGTTTCGATCTGCCTCTGAGGTGCTTTCCAGTGAGATGAAGAGCCAGAAGAACACTAGATGTTCTTCATCACAGTTCTCCCCAGGGTTCTCCCCACTTCTACTGCCACCTCATATCGGGACGGGGCCCCGAGGCTTTTGGGGCTCTGACGGAACGATCTGGGTTCAGAAGTCACTCCGAGGGACTGGCCACACTGTCAGAACACAAGAGACGTATGACTCCAGAAGGCTTATATACACTGAGCACACAATTATTAGGGAAATCTTGTTTTTTAGGATTATTATTTTTTTATTAATCACCAAATACAGAGCTCCTGGTTCATCCAAAAATGTTAATGAAATGCAAACCTGAATGTTTAAGGAAGGTAAAGTGAGGTTCAGTTTAGCTGAGAATGGGGACTGTAGCATAAGTTTTTCCAGTTTTAGTGACTCTACTGATTAGCCCCACAGAGGAGAACCAGGATGCATCTGATGGAGCATTGAGCTGTATAAAAATCATAAAAACTTCCTGCACCAAGTCTTGAAGGAAGCATTTTCTAAAACCTAGCAGTGTGCTTTGGAGTTAATTCTTTGTTGATCTTCATTTTTAGCTCCACCAGCTCATAACCACTACCTCACCTCTGCCATACTGACTTAAAGTGGAGCTCTGCCCCCTTACTGATCCAACCACAGGGCCATCCATCTGGTCCATCAAGAGTCTTTCTCAATTTCTCATCCATAAAAGCTTTGATAAAATCTGTCATCAGTTATTTCTTGAACCAAGATTATACCCTTCAACTCGTGTCATGTTTCTGAGCGATGAGTATTTTCCAGATCCTCCACGTAGGCTGTAGGTTGTGGAAAATGACAGAACTGTCAGATAATGAGTCTCTGGTAGCTTCACGCTGGATTCTCTTCAAATCCTTGCCCATTAATTTCCATCCCCTGCCCACCACCACCACTTTTCCAGTGACCCTGTTGACTGTTTGCCACAAAATATTTGTTGGGTCTGCAATGACACTACAATATCTTAGCAATTTCAAGAGTTCTGCATCTCTCTGGGAGACTTGTGTTACTTTTTGACTTTCCAGAGTGAGTTAAATATCTTTTTTGACCCATTTTGCATAAAGAAAAAAAGCTGCCTGATAATTATGAACATCGAGATGTAGGGTGTTGACCTATTTAGGCCCCACCTTCGTTTATTACACATATGCACATCATTTGCTACTTTTGAGTCCATTTTGTAGTCATGTTTATCCAGCTTGGAGTTTAGTGATCTGCCTAAAAATGGTGAAAATATTCACTTGACTGATAATTCTGCACAAAGTGTATATATTTATTAGGAGGTTTATATATATTAATTTAAATTGTTTGGATTACCAACTGACAGACAAATGGATTATCAGCATATTTATGGTCTTAATTCTTAGTTTCCACAGTTCCTTTTTAAATCAATGAGGAAGTTGTGGCATTGTTCAATAAAAAAAAGCAAAAAACAGCTAAATGTATGTTAATTATATTTGTCTTTAAAGAAAGAGGAACATGAAACGCTGTAGGAGGATGTGTTCAATATGCTATATTCTAATAGCGTTGCAAGCAAATGTGCAAAAACTCAGACAGTCAGACAGGAAATTGGGTCAGAGTCGCACTTTTTTCCTATTTAGAGTGTTTAAATTCTTATAGAAGTAACTTTTGAATAATGTACAGAAATGTATTAAATCCTCATCCCAAAGGAGAATACTGTCCTGCCAGAGAAGGTCGTGATATAAAACATATTGCTGTGGGCATTAAAAATCTCCTCTGCCAGGTCTTGTGCAGTAAAGTTAAATAAGTGTCTATATAAAGGTGCTCCACTGGTGGTTTAAAAGTAATTTGCACAGTGGATGTTTGGTTTTGCCCATCTTCTTGAGGAGCTCGTTTAACGATCTTTTCCATTGTACCATTGAGTGCATTTGAGGAAGTAGAGGAGTCCCTCAGACAAAATCAACATTTCCCAAGTAGGTTCACACAATTGGGTCACTGGCTCTGGTGCTTTTACGCCAACATTTGACTTTTGAAGATTGCTCATTATGTCACACACTAAGTGATAGAAAATTCACCACAGAGTTATAGAAAATTTGCCACACTCAAGTCTGATGTCTCTCGGAAACAACCTCAGTGGTACATTTCAGGTTGAAGCTTTTGTCATGGGGAACAACCAGTGTTCCCTTTGTTATCAGGCACAAAATACTGGCTTGCTCAATCACACAGTTTAAAGAAAGCCCCAAATGGTTATGTGTTATGTTAAAGTCTATAGATGTGATTGTTTCACTGTACTGCAAACTTCAGATGCCAACACATCTGAATCAGGTGAATGATCCCGTTGATGAGAAGCTGATGAGCAACGTTAGCCGATGTATTTCTGAATCTAAAAGATGCTAACAGTGCTAAGAGTTGAAGAGCAATTATTCCAACGCTTTACGTAAATTAGCAATGCATACGATTCCAGGCAGAAGCTTACATACACTCATTATTGGCATGAATGTTGCATTCATTTTGGACTTTCAGTGATGCATTTGATCCGTTCTTTTTTTGGGTGTGGAATGAGTGTGCAGTACACAACTGCAGTGATTTTTTAAAGTCAAGACTCGGATGCACTTGTTTGAATTGTGGAACGTTATTTGACAGGTTTTCTCATCAGAACTAGTAGTTTTATTGATTTGGTTGGTTTCCTGCCTCGAAACGAATCTGCCAGTAAAATGTTAGTCTA